TTTTTTTTATGTCTTATGGTTCAAATACTAATTAGGGTGAGAAGATATAGTTAGGAAATCAAAATGCAGGTTTTTGGCTTACTTCGTCATTGTCCTTGTCTTCCATGATACCAGCGCTGAATGGATTAGGTCTTTCATTTATGGGTCGGCTAGGTAACACCGTCGCTTTTTGTTTATGGTATTCTGAATGTTCAGTTTTTTATTTCATCTATCTGAAACTTCTTAAGAGAAAAAACCATTTGATCAACATTATCTTCTGTTATGTCCATCTCTCAAGATTTTGTGAAAGTTCGCTTGACCAGATTTGGCAATAATTGATTGGATCGAGGAACGAATACCGCACTTAGGCACTGCTCCGCGGACTACTGTTCCTAACACGATGCACAACCGTAGGACAAAAGGACCAGCGCCCGCGGAGGCGGTGCCCAATTGAAGTGTTTGTTTCTCTACCCATTGAGTTCAGTGCATTCGATGTTCTTTTCTTTGTAAAAAGTGGAATGTAAATGACTGACCGGAAATGGTTTTGTCGATTTCGGCCTCTGGAACCAATTTATACAACTTTTCTCCGTCCGACTCAACCAACATGAACTCGAACTTCTGAAAAACCTACTATTTTTGCTACAACTAAGTAGAAGCTAAAGCTTGCACCTCTTCCTTGTACTCTCTGGCAGCGGCTGCGATTCGTTTTTCTGCTATTCTTATCTCTTCTTTCCGCAGTAGTGCAACCATTCTACAATGACAGTCCACCAAGCGAGTGAGATCTGGGGGACTAGAAAAGAAGTAAGTGATGATGATTCCAAGGAAGCTTATAGCGTACCTTTTCGCTAGAGCGCTCATGTACAGCGAATGCATTTTGATCAAAGCTGATGAGACAAGTTGTTTGTACAAATTTGGTCGCTTAATACCCATTGCGCGACCGAGGACCGTCGAAAGACCATGACGACAATCGAAATCTCGAGCTACCTAACAACAAGATTTGTTTCGGGAATTTTGTATCTCATACTTATCAATAACAATTTAGGTAGGTATTATTATTTTATAATAGATTCCATACTTAGAGTAATTTTAATACATTAAAGTGGAGACATCGCACATATAAATTGGACATTGTTGCGTCCGGGGAAGACAGTACGTGTTTGAGAGAGATGGCAGACGGTAAAAGGAATGAGAGTGCGCCCGGGCACAGAGACGCCGACAGCGTCCGCAATTGCGCCTGTCCCTGTGTGCGATGATTCGCCTCTATGTTTTGTTTGTTGTCTTCCCAAACCTTTTTATTTTTATCCAGCATTTCTGCTTGAAAAACTATCATGATTTAAACTTTACCTGAAAACTAGCATCTAAGCTATGATGCATCATAATGCGAACATCATCCGGTATAGTGCAAGGCCCACAACAGCTACCAACTGCTAAGATCTTCTCTAAGCCTTCCGGCGGAGGATCACAGGGACACAGAATTGAGCCGAGCAATTGGATGACCAATTGATGAGCCAGTAACGAGGAGATTAGTTGGGACACAGACATTCTAGAATTCAAGGTCTAATCTCTGAGTAACATTGGGTAATTTACGGTTGAAATCCTACCTCTGCTTCTCATCATTTATGGTGATAGACAAATCAACATCGCTTGCTCCACTTTCTTCTGGGATACCGTTTGACTGCTTCTTTTTTTGGGCATCTACCAGGAATACCTACGAAGACGCTTATTCTATTGGCAATAGAATGGTGGTGAATTTTCATAATTTACCTGTTGGGCAAGCATTCTTTCCTTTAATGGCAAACCTTCTGTTCCATCAACCAAAACATCACCACCTATGCCTTTCTCATCCGTAGAATCATTTGCATACAGGGAAATGAGAAGCCTAATTGGTGACAAAGTTGATGCTCTGCAAGTACGCGAATCTCCACAATCGTCAGAGGTTATCACTTCAAATAATTGTTTTGAAGTGCAGAAATTCTTACGTGACATCCCACAGCGATTTCGCATAGATTGTCCATTGCGGATGTGTAAACTTCGATGCAGAGCCACCAATATGTCGTAGACAAGCAGTTCCAACACGGGGAAGATCTCCTTCCTGCACAGTGCATTCAGTAGCAAGTTGGCATATGTCCAACAAAAGTCGGCTGTGCCAGTCAGCTGGAAAATCAAAATGGAAGTCTTTTGAAACTTTGGGTAATTTCGTCGTCGAGGGGAACGGTCGAGACTACCCCATACTGGGCAGCAAAAAGCATATTCAATTGAAAAACGCAGATAGTAAACGTAGAACGCAACAAACCCTGCGTCAGCGCGGCTCGACGCCTCTGAGTCACTTCGTGTGCTACATCAGTGACGCGACTCAGAGACGTCGGGCGCGCTGCCGCAGCAGCCGTAGCACACTTTCGGGATGGAAACAACTTCGTATAGCTGTGTTATGATTATCCTTTTATGGGGACAGGGAGGGAGGAGAAGGACCAAAATGCCTTACTCTGTTCCAATGCAAAAATGTCTGCAACCATTTGTGTGCAAATTCCGACAGCTTGTCGCAGATTCGCATCACTTCTTCTACCATCTGCTTTCTCCTCATTCTTTGGTATTCTTCTCATCCATTTTTGTACATGGGGTAAAAGGAGGGTCGAGAGACAGAAGCAGGCTGTTTTTAGACCTGAGGAAAAGCTTTTTGTGATTTATTTTGGCTTGAAATGATTGGGAATCCTTACCGAACTCGCTGCCTTTAATGGTGTTAATGAGTTGTTGTACGGAAACTAGTAAAGATGGTTGAATATACAGCGGTGCCGTGACCAAAGTGCCGGCCAAATGCTCCACGAAGGAAAGCAATAATTCCAACGAAGCCACTTCAGATGGGAGTAAACCTTCCCAGGGTAAAGTTCCTCTCGCCACTGCAGATAGGGTAAATTTGAGAAAAAACATGGACAGCAAAATTTTATATATCACTTACCTTCTAGTGGGGTATCCAGCTGAAGGGGTGAGGGATCATTGTCGGCTAATGGGAACTGAGCCGGGTCTAAACATTCTGACAAAGGAGCAGAAGTGGTCTCTACGCTTTCAACCTCATCAAGGCAAACGGCGCGAAGTTCGGCTCTAAAACTCAGCAAAAAATATTTCTTTTTCCAGATTTCTTTTTCCAAAGAAAATCCTAAATCTCACTTGTGTAAGAGATTCGGATTGGGTATATGTGGCGTTTTGAAAAGGTTTAATATCACAGTATAGGTGGGATTCACAAGTCGCAGAGCGGCTTCACTAAGTTGATCTTCTACTGGCTTCGAATCTGCAGCAGCTTCCTCATTTGGCTCAGTAGGTGTTTTTGCATGGTTTGATTGTAAAAAATGTACTATACAGAGCAGACAGTCTGGTAGGGACCAGGATAGCACAGAACTGTAAAAAATAATTTGGAATTTTCCTTAAGAATTCGTGCACATTAACTTAAAATAACTAAAATAACTTACTACTTGTCGATCCTAAGATAAGTTGCTATGACATCGAGCACCGTCCAGTGAACGCTATCACCATCGACTTCTGATGTTCGCAGAGCCCGTAAAGTGCCGAAAAGGGTTTTCCAACCTAAACTCATGGGGTAGAGTGTAAAGATTGTTTGTTTTTCAAAAAATAACAGGCTTCAGCTGACCTGACCCAATCCGTTCCGATTTTGTCTTCACAAAATCTGCCAAAGCTGCTACAATTTGTTCTCGTGTTTCTGGTGAACATGTGTCCGAGCAGATGATTGCCTAATAAAAAATGAGCAATTTTTAGTTTTTCATTTGAGTGTTGGCGCGTTCTTACTTATTGTTGCTATATTGTTGCGGAGTCTAGGAAAGTAAATAAAATTGTCGCAAAAATTTTGAAAAAATACTTTGCGGAAATTTTGGAGAAACTATAGATAAAAAATTGTGAATCTCTAGTGAACTTTACCTAATAATTTATGTGTAACTTCTGGATTCAGTGTTTTTCTCTTATCTTTATGCACATCCAAATTTATTTGAATTGCAAATGCACAACCATGGAGCTATCTCTTTACTTTTTTCGCATTTCTATGGCTGCTTGAACTTTGAAAGAAAGAAAAGATGATTTTTGGTAGCAAATTTGGTTACTAATTTGTTACCTGAAAAGGTGCAATCAACATCTGATTGAAGCACAGCCCTTGAGATTCCGACAGTAAAAGATTGGAGATCACATCCGATAGCGCTGTGACTCCGACACGAGACTCGTCTGGGCAGGAAGCCACCTGTGAAAACAAATTTTCTATTTCGTAAACGAAAAATTTTTGAAAGTCCCTACCTGCACAAAATGAGCACAAACTATTGGCCAGATTAGCATTTGATGAACTAGAGGGCGATTGCCCAACGGTGCGAGAATTTCCGATATCTAAAACTTTGTGCTGAAGACTAATTTATGCTACTAGATTGCAATTCTTACCCTGGTAAGTAAGTTCGTAGCAGGAGTAAGTGCAGGAGCTTTTTTGCCTGAATAGAATATTCGATTCTCACTTGCATTCGTAATGGCCAAGCACAGTTCCCGCAAAGAACGAAGATTCAGCTCGTGGCCAACTTTCGAATAGAATCTTGAAAAACATTTCCAAGCTCGAAATTGCAAAAAAAAA